TTTGTCAGCACAAGTTTATCATAAGTTTGTCACATTCTAAGTTGGTTTAACGTTGTACACTTCAACATTATATCAGTCAATAATAGAGCATATTTGTGCTACGAAATACAATGTTTTCATATTCACGGAGGTCTTATTATTTACGTTCATCCGATGTTTTCATATTAACACGCGAAACATCTTATATAAGATGAAAAAGTTATTAGCATAATTCTTGCGGGATTAAAATGTGAAACACGATCTAGATATTGTTTCCAATCCTGTGAAAACTGGTCTTTTTGATGTATAATAAGACATATTTCTCTATCATTACTTACTTTAGAGTATAGAACTTCAACAAGAAAATACTCCATATATATTTCAATTTATCTGTTAGTTATACATGATCTCCAATAGATCCTTAAAGTCGTCTATCACAGTTTGTGACAGGTGCGGAGCGTGTTTGTCACGGTCTGTGATGGGTCCGAAGCGCTTCTGGAATGGCCTGTGATGGTCAAGTAAATAATTAGGTAGTAATTAGTTAATTAATTATGTAATTAATTGAAATGTTTATCACGGCCTGTGGAAGGGGACAGAGAGAATGAGTCCAAATTTCTACTCTATATACGTTAACACTCCTTTTAGATCATGTTTCATAAAAGCAATTCGAGTTAAGGCCCCCCCCCTCCACCTCAGAAAAAGCCAATTTTTGTCAAATGTATGGATTTTGTGATTTATAGCTCATTAGATAGAGCAAAGTGTCTACTCTCGAATGCACTATAGTTTATTGATTTTATGATGAGATTTAAGGATGTTACGTAGGTTTCTTTGGGCCCTCATATAGAAAAATAACGTTTTTTCTGAAAAATTTTGGTTTTTACGTTTCCGTGCATCCCAGATTTCTTCGTCATTTTAAACGCTAAACAGCTCGGCTTGATGTCAAAATGAAGGCAAAACTTAACTCTACAACTTAACAGAGCTGGATTTTTCGATTTTCCCAGTAATGTTTATAAAAACCTAACTGTTATGGACCTACTCTCCCTAGGTTTTCTGTATTCCATCAGAGAAGTTTTCTAGGAACACAGGTTAGGAGGAAATGAAACGGTCGGTTCCTGTTGAGTTGTAGAGCTAATTTTTGTCTTCATTTTGACACCAACCTGAACTTTCTAGCATTTAAAATGGCGGAAAAATTTGGAGCGCACGGAAACCTAAATTTACAAGAGCTTCGATTGGCATCTAATATATTCAGGTTTGACCTTAGTTTTAATCAATAATAGGAAGGCTAATTAAAAAATAATTGTTTTGCGTTTTTCTCAAAATTGATTTTTTTGCTGATGATCGAACTGCGAACAAATTTTTTTCAATATACTTCAACGTAGAGAGCTGTATTTTTTTTCACCAATAAATACATGCATAGTCTTTCGGATGAGGGAAAGGAATTTCCTAATTGGTCATCAATTCTAAAGAAATCCTAAGTTTTCTAGAAAACCATGCCTAGGATTTCCAGTTTTTTGAAATTTCGGTGATCTTTAAAATGCAACAAAGTAAAAATTAAAAAAACCCTTTCCCTCATCCGAAGCACTGATGAGTTCTCTTTCAAATAAAACCAGCCCGAACCCTGCAGCTTGAAGTATATTAGAAAAAAATTTGTACGCGTGAAAGCCCTGTTTCACAGCGTGGTCCCTCGATATTTCCTGAATGGTAAAGTATAGAGGCGTGAAATTTTTTTTACTAATGTACTTCTATGGCCCCAACATCTATGCAAAGTTTCATCAATATCTTATGTACCTTGTCCAAGTTAGATTTTTGAGGTGGGGAGCCCCCTTAAGGTGTTCCTCATCAAAAAAAAAGTAACTTTTCGCCAGAGTGATCGAAATGAAGATAAATATAAGGTAAGATAGCCCGTGATCCGATCTCTCATAAGCGGCAAAAATTTTTACTCGGCACCTCGGTTTTTTTCCAAAAATTTTTGAAGATTTCCGTCATTCCTATTCGAAAAATAAGCTGTTTTTGGGAAAAAAAATCAAAAATCTTTTTCGTTTTATAGGTTTTCGATTGCATCTTCTAGAATTTTTTGAAGGAGCTTCATTGTAACCAATAGGTGTTTTTTGTTTGAAAGGGTGTGTAAAACTGCAATGCCTATGAGATCCCGTTTTTCGAATGAAGCGTTGTTATTCTTATATTGAAAAATATTTTTATAATTAGAGTGCTTTTTTTGGGGTGTTTTTTGAGTAATTGAACTTGTCAAGCCCTTTTCTCCATTTGAAAGATAAGAGTTTATTAAAAAAGGCTCTTATAGACACTGCATCCTGACATACTCTTTCAAACAAAAACAAAAATTAAATACAGGGGTGTGGGGTGTGGGTGTGGGTGTGGGTGTGTGTGGGTGTGTGTATGGGTGTGGGTGGCTATCTTGAGGGTGTGGGTGTGGGTGTGAGTGGGTGTGCGGTGTGGGTGTGCGGTGTGGGTGTGGGTGTGTGTGGGTGTGTGTATGGGTGTGGGTGGCTATCTTGAGGGTGTGGGTGTGGGTGTGAGTGGGTGTGCGGTGTGGGTGTGGGTGTGGGCTAGGGGTGTGGATGTGGGTGTGAGTGTGGGTGTGGGTGTGAGTGTGGGTGTGGGTGTGGATGTGGGTGTGGATGTGGGTGTGGGTGTGGGTGTGGATGTGGGTGTGGGTGTGGGTGAGTGTGGGTGTGGGTGTGTGTGGGCTAGGGGTGTGGGTGTGGGTGTGTGGGTGTGGGTGTGGGTG